CTCTCCCTCCCCCCCCCTCGCTGCTCCTCCACTCCGTACCCCCCCCCCCCCCTCCCCCCCCCCTTCCTGCCTTCTCGGCTTTTCGCTCTCGATCAGGTCGCCAACCGAGTCCAAGAGCCCACCCCCCCACCCCCCCCCCACCCCCCACCCCCCACCTGCTACCCCTCCCACCTCCCTCGCCGTCTTCCCCCTCAAGTGGTGGACATGGCTGACGAGGAGGACAAGACAGTGGTGGAAAAGGGTCCGCCGCCTGGCCAGGAGCATGCTGGTCGCTTTGAAAGGGTATGTCGTGTGGAGGGGGGTGGGTGAGGGGGGGGAGGGGGGGGGGGAGAAGGGGAAGGGGAAGGGGAGTGGGGGGGGGGGGGGAGAAGAGGTGGTGGTATGGGACTTATCATTGTGATGATGGGGAAATATGGATCATTGTCATTGGCTTTGGCTTTGGCTGGTATGTATGTGTGTATGTGTGTGTGTGTGTGTGTGTGTGTGTGTGTGTGCCTCGCGACCGCTTGGTGCACGTCCGTGGTGGTGATCGGGATGTGGACGCGGTCGGTCATCATCGACTCGGGGATGTGGTTCGCGGCGGGGGGGGGGGGGGACAGACAAACAAGCTGCTCGGAAAGGGCGCTTTCAAGTCTGTGTTCATGGCATACGACCTTGAAGAAGGTATCGAGGTAGCTTGGAACCAGGTGAGGATCAAGCAGTACTCGCCGGCCGATCGCGAGAAGCTGTTTCTGGAAGTCAAGCTGCTCAAGGGCTTGCGTCACAAGAACATCATCAACTTTTACCACTCGTGGGTCGATACCGAGAAGGACCAGGTTGTGTTCATCACCGAAGTCATGACCTCGGGCACGCTCAACGCCTTTGTCAAGAAGACGCAAAAGCCCAACCTCCGCGTCATCAAGCGGTGGTCGCGGCAGATCCTGCAGGGCCTCCTCTACCTTCACACACACCGCCCGCCCATCATCCACCGCGACCTCAAGTGCGACAACATCTTCATCAACGGCCACTCGGGCGAGGTTAAGCTCGGTGATCTTGGTCTCGCCACCATCATGCGCAACTCGCACGCGGCATCGGTCATCGGCACACCCGAGTTTATGGCACCGGAGATGTTCAACGAAAAGTACACCGAAAAGGCCGACATTTACGCCTTTGGTATGGTCCTTCTCGAGATCTATACCCACCAGGTCCCGTACCACAACTATCGCGTCGCCGAAATCTGGCGCAAGGTCACTGAGGGCTGTCCGCCCGACGAGCTCGCCCAGGTCCGCGACCCGACTGTTCGCGAGTTCATCCGCCTCTGCATTTGCAAAGAGAAGGACCGCCTCTCGGCCGCAGAGCTGATGCAGCACCCGTTCCTCGCTGTTTCGGAGCGTGCAAAGATCGACCGCCTCGAGTATGCGCCGTCTGTTGCTGTCTGGCCGCAGATCATGCCCGAGGGCTGGAAGCCCGAGTATGTGCCGCAGCCCGGCTCGCCCGTTGAAAAGCCTGAGCCGTCACCGGCCACCACACTGGCGCCAGCAGAGCCGCCGCCGCCGTACGCCTCGGCTGACGAGGATGCCGCTGCCGCTGCTACCGCTGCTGTCGCCGCGTCCGCCGCTGCCGCTGCTTTTGCCGCCGCCGCCGCTCCCGCACTCGTTGCCGGGCCCGCCGCTGGGGTGGGCATCGGCGCCCCAGGCACGCCGCGCCCTGCCGAGCCGCAGCCGTCCGAGCCGCCTGCTCCGCGCGGCACTGACCCTGGCTCTGATGCTCCGCCCCCTCTTGATCCGGCACCCGAGCTGGTAGGCGACGTCGCCCACACCCACACCGCCGACTCACAGATGCAAGTCGATGCTCTGGTTCAGGCGCAAGCTCGGGCCCAGGCGCAAGCTCAGGCACAAGCGCAGGCTCAGGCGCAGGCTCAGGCGCAAGCAGAGGCTCAGGCGCAAGCACAGGCTCAGGCGCAAGCTCAGGCTCAGGCTCAGGCTCAGGCTCAGGCTCAGGCTCAGGCTCAGGCGCAGGCGCAGGCTCAGGCTCAGGCGCAGGCGCAAGCGCAGGCGCAGGCTCAGGCGTTGGCGCAGGCTCAGGCGCAAGCTCTTGCTATTGCACAGGCGCAAGCAGATGCGCTCGCGCAGCAAAAGGCGCAGGCACAGGCGCAGGCACAGGCGCAGGCTCTGGCGCAGCAGCAAGCGCAAGTCCAAGCCCAAGTGCTGGCGCAGGCGCAGGCGCAGGCCTACGCCGCTGAACAGGCACAGGCACAAGCATACGCCGCCGAACAAGCTCGCATCCAGGCCGACCTGCAGGCCCAAGCATACGCCGCCGAGCAGGCCCGCCTGCAGGCCGCCACCACCGACGCTGGCCAGGCTCGCCAATTGGCGGCCGAAGCCTATGCCGCCCAGTATGCGCTCACCGCGGCCCAGCTCCAGGCCCAGGCTGCACAGGCCGCGCAAGCTGACGCCTACGTCTATGCCCAGCAGCAAGCGCAGGCGCAGGCGCAGGCGCAGGCGCAGGCGCAGGCACAGGCGCAGGCACAGGCGCAGGCCAACCATCCACCGTCAACGTCTACGCCGCCGCTGCCGGTTGTTTCGCCGCGGGTCCTCCCTCTTGTTGACATCATCGCCGTCTCGGAGCAAGGCGTCCTCACTCTGCGCACTACTTTTATGTCGGCCGCTGGCAGCGAGACCACCGTCAAGTTCCACTTTGACCCCAAGGTTGACTCGGGTGAGACCATTGTGGCCGAGCTCCACACCGAAATCCCCATGCGGCCCGAGGACCTTGGTGTCCTGGTCAAGCGCATTCACTCGGTCGCTCGCCCGCCATGACGGCGCCAATGAACACTGCTCCGCCCTGCGCTTGATTCAGTACGACGAGTACTCGATCGACGGCGCAAACGACGACTCTGCCGTGTCAAGCGTGTCAGAGTCGCTCGAGTGCGAGGTAGAAGCTGCACCACCAAACGCTGGGTTGCGGCTCTGGATGACTTTGGCGGCCAGCGTGGCGCCGTCGATCATGACAGGAGGCACCGGATCCGTTGCCGTCTCCGAGTCGGAGCTCATGCTCAACATCGGCACGGCTGCCGCTCGCGATCGCGGCGTGAGGGCACCAAGCTGGAAGCGCGACGCAGACCTTCGCTTCCGTCGCCGCCGTACCAAGCAAACCACCAAAACCGTAATCGTCACAGCTATCGCCACAACTGCAGAGCCGACTTCGTACTGCCAGACGCTGCTTGGTCTCGATGGCGGATCCGCTCCTTCTACCGATGCCGACGCGGACGACGCCCAAGGTGGTGGTGGTGGCGGCGGCGTCGTCGTCGTGATCAAGCACTCACCCCACTTGCACTCGATCCACACGCTGGCGTGGCTTGCCGAGCTCGCCGACCGTGCTGAGTACTGGGGCTCGACCTCGACAGCGTCGTCGGAAAACGCTCCGTCGATCGACAAGTATCGGAGCAGGACCATCGACTCGCCGCGGGTGATTACGACTCCGGTGGGGACGCGGACCACAACCCTGCCGCCGGCCGCCACATACGGCGCGCTGATGCTTGGCTCGGTCTGGCCCGGGTTCCACTCCACCTGAATCGTTGATGGTTCGGTCGCAGAGTCAAACAGTTCCAGTGCCTCGAATCGAACACGGATCAGCGGTCCCAGACGGAGCGAGGCGCGCCGGCCGAGTGCGAGCTTGATCGTCATCGCGACTTCGCCGCTCATTGCCGAAAGGTCGATGGCGGTGTCGGCAACCACTGCGTTTGCCGCGGATGTCCCGGATGCGCAGACAGGGAGACACTCACCGGCGGCGCACCCGGTAGCAATCATCACCTCAGCACAGAGCTCCTCGTTGGCTGGCGGCGAGTAGGCAGCCACGCCCTGTGCTAACCCGGCAGTGGCGTAAACAATACCAGTCCGCGCTGCCGGATCGTACACCATCGCCGCGTTGAGGAGGCCGTCCGCCAGCTGCTCGACCGCACACGACTTGGTGCCCTCAAGTCGGCACGTCGTCACCTGCATCTTGCCCACCGCACCCGCTATCACCTGCTGCATGATGACCGCAGCGCGCCGGACCGGATCAACGATCAAGCCCGAGACTGCCACCGCTTTGCCAGTCTCTGCGATCGGGAGCTCGACGTCGATGCAGCCTGTGAGGTCCATCGCGCACGAGACGAGCTTGGTCTGATCGCTTCTGACGGGACTGGCGGCGGCCCGCGTTCCTGATCCGTGCGCGTACTGACGGCTTGCACCGACAGCAAACAGCCTGCGCGAGTTCGTGTCGTCGACGGCCACAGCAATCGATTGGTACGTCGGCCCGCTCGAGATCGCTGGAGCCAGAATCGACTGCGCTCTGCATCCGCCGACTTGCTCTTCCGTCGGAAGGCTGCATGGATACGCGACGAGTGCGCCCGAGTCAAAGACAACAACAGTGGCGTCCAAGCCATCGGCAATGACCACAAGCGACGACGAGTCAATGATCGCTGTAGTGCGGGTCTCAGCTACGGCATGATTGGAGACTAGCGGTTGGCTGGCCGACGGCGAGGCTGCGGTGGCGATGCTCGCCAACACCAGCCTGTATCTGGTGCGCGACCCAGCCGCCTCTGCCACCGCCATCGTGACAATGAGATAGTCCTCATCGGGGCTGATGGACAAGTCATACGCCTGCGCCTGCATCAAGTTGGTGCTCTCGCGGAGCGGCAGCACCATACAATTGTCTACCACCAGAGAGCACCTGCCGATCTTCAGCTCGCCGGCCGAAGACACCAGCGCGATGTATATCCTGCCCGACCTGGGCGCCACAACCGCCATGACCGGGAGCGCAAAACCCATCGCCGCCACCGTCGATGCCACACATCCGGTACCATCGCGCTTGCAGATCGAGACTAAAGTCGCTGACGGCGGGAGCTGCAGAAGCTTGCGCGAGCTGTGACCATCCACCGCCAACACCGACGGCTCGGCCACCGGCGCAATGACCGCCATTCTGTCGCCAGGGAGGAGAATCGGAGCGATGACAAAGGGAAGCGGCTGGATAGATTCAGGAAGAACATGAAAGTTGGCCAAAGACTGCGCTTCGCCACGTCTCTGTCCACATTCCAAGGCAAAAATGACAACGACCATAGCCAACGTGCCCGCGCCGTGCCCAACTGACATCCGATGTCAACTGTTCGCCAATTTGAGTCCATGTGAGTGCAGTGCCGCACCAAGCCGCCGCCTGGGCATGATCCTGCTTCACCTCGTCCGGCCCCCTTCTGCTCCCTCTGACTCTGCCATGGCCGGTCACTGCCTCCAACAACATGGTGGTGGTATGGATGCAGTTGGGCTGCTTGCCTCCTATGACCGTGGTTCGCTCCGCGATCATGGTAATCGTACCGAAGGGAACAAGTTGAGTACCAACAAACGCAAGCGAGACTGCCAACTGGACGAGCCCTACGTGGTCAACGCAACCTGGACGCGGGGGTTTATCCATCATTGCGCCCTAGGGACGAGGGGCGGCAAAGAAAGAGGTGATGGAAGCGTTGCGCTGGCGATGGTATATCTCGTCGTCGTCATCGCTATTGGCATCGCCATCGCTGCCGGTGCGGTTGCTGGTGTGCCGATGGGAGTGGGTTGGAGAGGGAGGGCGCCGCTCGGAGCGAGAGGCGCGCTTTCGGGAGAGTGCGGCAACAAGTGCCCGACGACGGGCGCGCGCAGATCCTGTGCGGGATCTCCGATGGTCGTCAGGCTTGGACTCGGACTCGGGCGGCGGCGAGGCCGGCGTCGCCAGTTTGGCCGACAGCTGGTCTTCGACATCCGGCATCGGCGCGAGGCGAGTCTGCTTGACCTTTGGCCGAATGCGACGATGAGCTTGGACGAGACCATCCATGGCAAGGGCCGGATGAGCCACAGCGGTGGCGTCGTCGACCGCTGGCATGTCTGCGGTCGGCAGGGCATCGCGCCAGGCCTTGATTCCAGGATGCCATAGCAGGGCCTTGACGACGTTTGGGCGGCAACCAGACTCGCGCGCGTCGGTGACGAGGGCGGAAACGTGCTCGTGCGAGACGATCTCGTACCGCGACGAGTAGACGACCAGCCGCTTGGTGGCGAGCTGGCCTTTGAGCGGAGCGTGCAGTGGAGCCAGCGGCAGCGGCGCAGCCACATCGGCCGCTCTGATCTGCCACAGCCGCACGGGACCATGCTCGCCGACTCGATGCGCCATGTCTGCCCCTTCGCCACTGTCTCCACTACCGCCAGCCTCCATCTCCACCGCAGCATCGGCGACCAACCCGGCGTGTCGCTCGGCCGCCGTAGCATCATCCTCGGGCAGGAGGCGGATGACGCCACGGCCAACACGCAACAGAGGGAACGTCGTCCATGGCTGACTCGCCGTCGTTTTCCGGAGAACGCCCCGCGGCCGCTTGCGGCGCTGGAGAGCCCGCGGGAGGAGAGCTTGCGCCTTGGCCCGAGCAGACATGGGCGGGTGGGGTGGTGCGTGTGTGCGTGTGTGTGTGGTGGGGGGTGGGGGGGGGGGGG